ATGCCTTGGACTGGCTGTTGGTAGTACAAGTGGAAAGAAGTGGGTTTTTCTGGATATGTTTTGAGGAGAGAGCCTGCAGAATTTCCTGACGAACTAGATATGAGGTGAGAGAGGAATGGAAGGTTTTTAGCCTGAGCCACTTGGAAAGATCGAGTTGCCATTCACTGGATGGGTAAATTTGCAGGTGGAGCAGACTTAGGGGGAGAAGACCAAGAGTTTAGTTTTGGACATAAGTGTGAGACACTTAAAAGATATCCAAGAGTAGAGGCAAAGCCATGGGAGTCCCTGGAAATCTGCCAGGAAGTGGCCCAAGGGCAAAGCCCGAAAGTACTCTATCATTAAGAAGTTAGGGGGCGCCTGGGTGGCTCAGCTGGTTAAGCGACTGCCTTCGGCTCAGGTCATGGTCCCAGGGTCCTGGGATCGAGCCCCGCGTCGGGCTCCCTGCTCGGCTGGAAGCCTGCTTCTCCCTCTCCCACTCCCCCTGCGTGTGTTCCCCCTCATGCTGTCTCTCTCTCTCTCTGTCAATTAAATACATAAATAAAATCTTTAGAAAAAAAAAGAAGTTAGGTACAAAAGGAAGACCTACCAAAGGAAAGCAAGGGCTTGCCAGGGAGGTAGAAGGAAGACTCTGAGAGCGTGGTATCCTGAAAGTAAAGAAAATATCTCCGGGAGGAAGGAGTAATCTCAAATGCAGCTGGAAGGTCAAGTAAAATGAATCCTGAGTGAGCCCGACAAGTGTAGTTTCAGTGGAGCTGTAGGTAAAAGCCTGATGCAAAATGGGCTTGACGGAGAATGAGAGAAGGAGTATTTGAGAAAGTACAGACAGCTTATATGGAATTCTACTGTCAAGAGGAGCAGAGGAATGGGGTAAAGGGCAAAGTTAGGTCAAAAGCATTTTTTTCTTAGGAACAGCTTTCTTTCTTTTATTTATTTGACACAGTGAGAGACACAGTGAGAGAGGGAACACAAGCAGGGGGAGTGGGAGAAGGAGAAGCAGGCTCCCCGCTGAGCAGGGAGCCCGATGTGGGGCTCGATCCCAGGACCCTGGGACCATGACCTGAGCCGAAGGCAGGCACTTAATGACTGAGCCACCCAGGCGCCCCTAGGAACAGCTTTCTTTCACATGTCACAGGGAATGATCCAGAAGAGAAGAAAAAAACCAGTGTACTCCCCTCATCTGTAAACAGGAATAGGAAGGTACCCCCTTCATAGGACTGTTATGAGGATTTAATGAATTCATTCATTCATTCTCTGTTATGAGAATTTATTAATGAATTAATAAATATAAAGCACTTAGCATGGCATAAAGCATGCACTCAGTAACACTTGCTTTAAAATATCCAGAATATCAGGCAACTCCTCCTGACACACTTGTTTAGGAAGGTTGTAAGATGTCATAGACCCCATTATTAAGATATTTCACAGCACAAGCAAAGAAAAGAGGATATAAGCAAAGTCTGAAGGGACAGGAGACTGAAAATAGGTTTTGCATCTACTGTTTTAGGATGAAGAAGTTCAATCCCAAAGTGAGCATGGTAAAAATTATTCACAGCAGAGTACAGTTTCACCTAACACCCATGTGATCTAAAGTAATCTTTTTCCCCCTCCTCATTACCCAGAGCCCTTTTTATTATATTGCCACTCACTGACATCACAGTTAGAAGTGTTTTCATCTACCAAATTGCATCAAGTAAAAACCAGTTTAAATCCTCAGTTTTTGTAATCAGAGATACATATAGCCCTAAATCAACAAAGAGACCTACTGTTATTGAAGTTGATATAATTACAAAGGCAGACAGTTGTGACTTTTAATTAACCTATGTAACTTCACTAGGATAAAAGTTTAATTTTGTCAGATTTCCTGACTTATTAAGAGTCATATCATGTGTATATTTAACTTGGTTAATCATATGTGTTAAGGCCCAAAGATAGAGACTGGGGGACATAATCAGCTCTAGTGCAAAAGAATAAAAGAGAAGGAAATCCTGTTATTTACTCTCTTATCCCAGATAAAGAGAAATCAAAGGGTTAAATGCAAAGAAAACAAAATAATCCTTCATCTTTTTCATTTTTATTTTATTCTGTGATTTTTAAGGGCTGATATCCTTGAGATTTCATAAAGGATTTCCAAGAGTGATGTATACCATGTACTAAAAAGATATTTCCCCTCAAACTGGGGAAACCAATGACCTGTATTTCTCTACCTAGACTGAGCCCTGTCTTCTAAGAGTGGAAAAACTGGCCCTGATTTTGATATGGTTTTTCCTGCCAAGTTAAACTGTCCACCAAAAAAAGAATAGATCTCACTCTCTGTGGACATACTGCGATGCACAGCATACATCAAGTCACCTAAAATAAGGACATGAATTAAAAATTTAAATAGGTATTATTTTCCAACGTACAACCCTCTTCAGCATACCAATCCTCAAAATGCACTTAATCCCCTTTGTTTATAATGTACTTAACTTATTGGCTTACTGTATTTCTTGACTATCTGTCACCATCACTAGCACTTCTCTTAGTTTAGTCTTACAGGACAGGAACTGTCAGAGGCTCCCATGCAATAATTATAGCACCTAACACATCATTAACACTCAGTAAGCTTATGTGAAATGAAGGAATGCTTTTAGCGATGTCAAGGCAAGGACCCTCCAAGGCAAACCCAATCTAAAACCTCAAGTCTAAAGGTAAGGAATGATTCTGTAGATAAAGCATTTCTTAAGTGGAAGAGTGAATGTGAAAGGGACATAAATACCTGCTGGAACTTATATAAATCGTTATACTTTTCATGGAAGTCCAAGTTCAAAAGTTCCTTCTGAAGCCCTTCCAAAAAGTTTTGGCTTTGGATGAAGTTTGGGATCACGCAGTGAAGAAAGGGATCCATGTCCATGGCAATGGCCTCTGTTGGAAGGAAAACATTACTTATGGCTTTTTCCCCTTTTGTATTTTTGACCTGAGTAGCATGGCAGAGGGAATACAAAAGGGAATGATCATGAATTTTCAGAAATCTAGTACCGAAAGACTTGGGGGAAGAATTATAAGCTCTTCCCTTTTTTCTTTACCCCATTCAATACTACCTTTTTTTTTTTTTTTTTTTAAAGATTTTTATTTATTTGACAGAGAGAGACCAGCGAGAGAGGAAACACAAGCAGGGGGAGTGGGAGAGGGAGAAGCAGGCTTCCCACTGATCAGGGAGCCCGATGCGAGGCTCGATCTCTGGACCCTGAGATCATGACCTGACCCGAAGGCAGACGCTTAACGACTGAGCCACCCAGGTGCCCCTCAATACTACTTTTTAAATATATTGTGTTCAAAATACGAGTCCTTAGGAGTACAGGTGATATCACTAAATTAAGGTTCCTGCTCTTTTTTGCGTTTTTTAGTTCAATGATTAGCTATTGAACTGAATATATTTTAGATTCCTTATTCATTTCCCCGAAAATTAAAGTGAGAGGAGCAAATGAAAAATGAGAATAGAGGGGCACCTGGGTGGCTCAGTTGGTTAGGCATCCAGCTCTTGATTTTGGCTCAGGTCATGATCCCAGGGTTGTGAGACAGAGCCTCACCGCAGGCTCCATGCTAGGGGAGGAGCCTGCTTAAGATTCTCTCTCTCCTCTCCCTCTGCCCACCCCCAACCCCTAAAAAAAAATGAGAACAGCAATACTGGCTGGCAATTTTTCTTCAACTCTGCCTTTTCTTTCCCCAAGTTACTGTTGGAGGAAGGAAGTTACAGCATACACTTTTTAAAAAAATCGGTTCAAGCATAACTCTTCGATGCCTTGATTTCTGTCTCAACATTTTAGCCACTGCCTCTGATACTCTAGGTACCCTCCTAATATTAATAGTCACCACCACGACCATCACCACCACCGCCACCTACCCCGTGCCAAACACAGTGGTGTTTTACATGCATAATGTCACTTCATCTCCTCGGCAACCCTGTGATAGACATTATCACTACTTCCATCCTACAGCTGAGGATATTGACAAGTCCCTGGGGGTACAGAGCTTGCCCTTTAGACACTGAGCTATCACCTTTTATGTGCATCCAGACACCCAGGACTCACCCCTTCGAAGCACTTAACAACTGAAACCAAAATCATGGCAAACGCTAGGAGGGGAAGCATGCGGCATGAAGCGGAATTCTTATCCTCTAAAGTGATATCTGAAGCTGAGGCTGGAATCGTTCAAGGTGAGTTTCTTCCCTTGCTCAACACTCGTTTACTCCCATAGGTCACGTAGTCGGCCTATAGGCGTGTAAAAACGAGTAAGCTCAGGCGCCAGCCATCTGGCAGCTCACAATAAATGCTCTGGCTACACGATTTTGGGATAACCGATCTTTGCCCTCGGAGGAAATACGAACTTGCATGCCATGCCCTCTGCTTCCCAACTCTCGGGCCTACGTTTCTTCCTCCTCAGATTTCTAAATCCAAACCGAACTTGGAATGATAGAGGGCAGCAGGAGAGTCAAAGGTGGCCAAAGTCACACTGTCTCCAAGGGCCTCTTCCCTCGTGGCCCCGCTGCCCGGGGCTCGACTCGATTGGTAGGACTTTCAGAGGCCCCCCCAGACCCTGCTCCCCCTTCACAGCACCGGGTTACCGTGACCGAACGGCGTCCTGCGGCTCCAGGCCTCAGACACCTGCTTTTTCAAGGTTTCTTCGGTGACAGCGTCCGAAAACTCCGCTATCACCTCCTTCTTTCCCTTTTTCCCCGTCCGGCCAGAAACTGGCTCAGCTGGCCGTTTCCCATTCATCTCTTAAGCTACAGACCCACGCCACACTGATTAAGCAGCTACTTTCCTAGGCTGACTACAATTCCCAGAATGCCCCCTTTCCCGTGTTCCCCAGCGCCGACCAATAGGAAGTATCAAAGTAAAAGGAGGCGGAACCCATTCCTGGTTTACCAATGGAAGCTCTAGATATTGCGGCCATCTCATCAGCGATTGGCCTAGTGCGCTTGGCCCGGTTGGCCTCCGCCTCCCTACTTCCTGCCGCCAGAGGCTCCGGATGCACTTCCGGCGTGCCTTCGCCTCCTCTTGCGCTCTCATGTTAATGGCGGGTGGCGTCTGCTGAGGGGGTCGCAAATAACCGCTACCGGCACAGGGAAAGTCTCCCTGCTTGCCCCACTTCCTCTCTCCGCAAGTACTCGAGCTCGCCAGCATGTCCGTGGTGCCGCCCAATCGCTCACAAACCGGCTGGCCCCGGGGGGTCAACCAGTTCGGC